ATTTCAAACCACATCTCGAATTTAGGTGTACTTAGAGTTCGTCAAATACAAGCAGCTGATTCAAAACAAAGTTTCTCATCGCGAAATTCTGCTTTAATCCAAATTTCGAAAGCAAATAATGCCTACCAGGTAATATATATAAAGATGTATAAAAGATGATATATATATATATATCATCTAATGAAGCTATGAGTAACTAACAGTATCATATAAGTTAATGATAATATGTGTATATATCATCTAATAAAGCTAAGAGAAGCTAACAGTATCATATAAATTAATGATAATTTATGTGTATATCATCTAATGAAGCTAAAAGAAGCTAACAGTATCATATAAATTAATGATAATATGTGTGTATATTTTATCTAATGAAGCTAAGAGAAACTAGCAGTATGATATAAATTAATGATAAAATATATTTATTAAATTGATGATGAATGATGTAATTAATTTAATGGAAATTTAATTTATTGAATTTTTTCCATTATTACAATATTACGTCATACATCTGATAGAACAAAACTAATATTACCACAAATTATTATCAAATTTTTATCATTATTAATTGACATATATCACTGAATAACATTAAATGACATTACATCATTGAAATTAATAATAAACAAAAGGAAAAAAATTATTCTGTTATTGACAAAATTTATTGATCATTTCAACGCTCCATTTTCGTTCTTCCATATTTTTACATTAAAATATTTTTTGTTTCAAAAGAAAAAGCGAAATTATTTAATTAATAATTTTATTAAAAAAGAAAAAATGAAATTAATGTGAAATAGGAAGAAAGAAAGAGAGAAACGAGAGAAATAAATAAAGTAGTATAGCGGATGAATGGGTGGAAACAGCAATTTGAATCACACAATCCATATAACGTACATTACTTATTACATATGTAATTGATTATATATGTGCAAATTATTGATAGTAAATTTAAAAATTAGAAATCACCAGAAGGAAAGAGAGAGAGAGAGAGAGAGAAGGATGAATTCTTGAAGAAGAAGGAGAAATACCACAGATTATAAATGTGAAGTAATTTACAAAATAGGATAAAATTAGTATAAATGATGATGACAGATGTTAGAGGGGAAAAAAAATAATATAATTTCCGGAATTGGAAAAAAACCGTAAGTATGTAAAAAATTTCTGATAAAGTGAAAAATTAAACAAGATAAGAAGTGATTTTATATAATTATATAAACATAACAATGTAACAGATAAACTTATTTCACAATTACTTAAAACCATCAAATTAATCAATCAATCAATCAATCAATAGGAGGCATCAAGAGTAGCAGAGATTTTTGACGAATTAATAAAAGTCATTCAAATTTTATTGATCCTTTCTTTTTACAACTATTTCTAAGTTCGTTTGTTTCTAAAAACTGATTATAAGGCCTCATTTGCAGAATTACATATCATAGAAAGGGAAAAGCCTTTATGTAGCCAAATATAACCTTTTTTTTCCATTTTGTTTTTATACTTTATTATTAACATAGCAAATTTTGGTAATATTAATCAAATATTAAATAAACGGACTTTTTGGCTCGAATTAATCAGCAAAGGATGCAATAATTTTGAAAATCTTCACTCCAATCTTCACTCCGAAAACAATAAAATACACGGTCAAAAAACTGGTCAAAAAAAAACACTATTCTTGTACATTCAATATTTAAGCTACGGCAATGTTTTTCAACAACAATAAGTATTGAAATAAGTTAGAAGAAAATAAGACTAAGTAAATAAATCTTTCTATACAATAAAATTTATATCACCAAGCTAACTGATAAAAATTGATTAATTATATCAACTAGTGATGAAAAGGAAAAATGGAAGCAGAAAGGAAGACATGAATACGAATATAAAGGAAGACATGAATATAAATATCTATATCTGTAAATAATACATTCCAATAATACAAGTTTTTCATCATCAAGAAGTTCGTTCTATTAAATGATCATAGGTTCTACGTCTTCCACTTCGATAACAATGAAGAACAGAGGAGCAGTTCTGCATTATCGGGAAGACTACCTGTTGATACTGTTACTGTGTGGAATTTTCGGACCCTGCATATATTGATCTTGTAACGTGAAACCATCAATCGTCGCCGAAAGATGCTTTGTTGGAATCTGCGAAAATTTCTTCGCGCCCGAATCATATCTTAAAGAAGAACAAAGCAATAATCTGTGAAGGGTAGATCAAAAAGTAATCAAATCAATAATCTGTGAAGTGTGGATCACCTTAATGATAAATCAATATTAGCTTATATTAATGATCCGGGCCAGCTTCTGCAGTCCCTTTTCAAATTGCTCCGGAATTATGCAAGAAGGAGAAAAACAATATAGAGATATACTTTTTCCAACATATATAAGCAACATATATTTACTAAGCTTGAAAGTATGAAAATCAATAGCTACAGTCATTTCAACTTCGTTCTTTTGTACAATTTCGTCTCGGCTATTATTATGCAATTAAAGCAAAAATCTTTCATTGAACAATATTTTTATCCACCTTTATCACATATCTAATTTTTTGCTTAATACTCTTCGTGTACTAATGTAATAACGCATATTTTAAAATATGAATTGAAGAGAAAAGCATACTTAAACATCAAGTGCATCATCGACTCATGACAAATATTGGGGCCTTTTCCGTGAATACGATGAGCGGTATCTGATTGCTGATCCCAACTATATGCGCCTAAATAGCGACATTTTTGATCCCGAAACAGTAAAAGGAAATGCTTACTATCACTTTTTGCTAATTCGCCAAGCACCTGAAAGTAGCTCAGTAATAGTTAAAACAAAAATTACGCAAAAATTAGGCATTGAGGCATAATAGCAATAATTAAATTAACGTTCAGTAATCATCAAAAATTTAAAAGAAATAGTTTTCTTTAAAAACATGATATCTGTTAAATTTAGTTGGAATCCATAAAAAGTAACAAGTCAGATCTTATCGTCGTTTCAAAATAAGAAAACCTACTTCAGCACGCTGTTTATCCCAAACAATTCCAGGAAATACCGAATATTGCAAAGCATTTATGATCATTGATCGATTCGACTTATGGACATATTTCGAAAAGAGTTTTAGCGCTGAAGTTGGAATTATTGAACAAACAGTAACGTAAATAAATACATTTGTACTGTATTTAATATTAAGCAAATTTTAGCAGAAAATCATAATGCACAAATGAACAGTGGTATTTACTTGGCTCAGCAGTACTTGGTATAGGAATACGAGCTGATGATGGCGCAGTGTTCTCTTCGAAGCTACTCTGTGATCGAGTTGCACGTTTCGTTCGAAGATGGATCCCTTCCATCTTAAGAGAAAAAATTACAATTCAGATTACAATTTTTTATTATGAAGTAAACAGATAAATATGGAATATAATAAGATAGAAATTCAAGTCATAATGTTCCGTGAACGAAAAGTTATATATTTTTAACCTTTACAATTCATTTCCTTCTCATTCTCTACCCTGCCTTTTATCCTACATTTTTTGGAATTGAATCTAACACAAAAAGCTTTGTTAAATATCAAAATTTTTCTAAATAATATTTTCGGAAATAATCACGATAAAGCGTTACCGTGCTTTTCGGTCGTACTAAAGACTGTTGACTATATCCTCGACCATTGGGTATTTCATTATTTTCCAACTCCTTTTCCATCTTTTTACGCTTGTAATCATCTAATATTCTCTGCCTGACATGTAAGAACAAATAAAGTAAATTTCCTACTTTACTCTATAAACTCAAAAAAATCCAGAAATAAGAAAAAATTACCTTTGCAATTCGCGCTCACGCTTCCGCTGTTCAGCAGCCTCTTGCCTTTCCAGTTCAGCTTGTCTTCGTTCAGCATTTTTAGCTTCAATTTCCCCTACCTTTTGTTCAATTTGTTCACGGCGTCGTAAGGTTTTCGCTAACAATGCCTCACGTTTTGCTTCCATTTCAGGAGTCTATAAATTATGCAAGCAAATCGACGATAACTATAAATTATAAATGTTATCAAATTTATAAATAGCGATGTTAAGCTTAAAATTTCTGTCGAAATTTGAAAATTGAAATTCTAGAGAAGACTTCCAATCTAAAAACATAAGTACCATCATGACCGTTTCGTCAACGTGACTAGTGAAAACACTTCACACTCGATAAATCAGTATCACCAATCTACATATTCTGTTTAATTATCTTTCAGTTAAATGCAAACTGCATGATCTCAGTCGATCGACATATGACAACTTCTGTTTTTCGATTGAAATTTCTGACACAAATGCCACACAGCTTTCCCCTTTTCCTAACTCTTCCTACTTCCATTCAACTACGACTTTATTCAGGCTGCAAATTTAGGGAGAAAGAGGTCACTTATGGAACTGATAAAAGCAGCCATAGTTGAGTGGTGAAATTATCCTACTACAGCAATAACTGGAAAAGTTAAGCTGTTTGACTTGGCCATGAAATTACTTAATCTAGAAATAGAATTAACTAACCACGCTGATAATAGGTTTATCGGCCGCATCATCAACAATGAATTGTGAAGCACGTGTAAACGAAAACTTCCGATTCGTCGGTGGCGGAGGTACATCGGCGTTTGTAGATGAAATAGGATCTTTTGGTGGACTCTGTTGATGTCCAGGCTTGTCATCCTCCTCTGCAGTGTGAAATATATGTGAAATATATATATATATATTTCATGTCAGTCAAAAAGTATGACATTTAGTCATGTAAAAAAAAGCAAACTATATAAAATATTTCCTTTTTAAATGGACAATCCTGAGGGGATCGATTTTTAAATCTGTTTGAAGGAATTATCTAGTTTAAATCAACTATGTGCTACGATCACAAAAAATATGAGAGAAGTATTCCAAGTAAACTATTCGCAACATAGAAAGTAGTAAAAAATACATGAAAGTATGATAAGTGCATGCTAAATCCCTTATGATAAATCCCGGTATAATAAATCCAGCATACTAAAGTAAAGAATATTAAAAATTTGGCAAAAAAGGTTACTCGGCTTAATATAGGATTTGAAATCAGCTTGCTGTAAATGTTGCGGCTTTCTTTGTTGCAAAGGTGTGGATTCCGGCACTTTGATACCATCTACATTTTCAGATGCTCCTGATGATTGATTCTAGAAAAATAAAAGTTTCGAAATTAGCAATTTTTGTTAGATGCATCATTTAAGAATTCAAGAAACGTCATGTAACGAAATGCCAACCGCTAAATTAAGTTTAATAAAAAAAAGAGAAAGCTTATGTTACTTGCAAGTGTGAAGGAACTCCTAGCGAGAACTCGGATTGATTCGATAAATCCATCTCACTTTTCCCAAATGTTCTATTGTCCCAGGTACGTCTTTGTGGCCGTATCGTCTGTCCAGCTTTATAGGTGAGTCCCCAGTTAGTCAAATTACGGTTTATCTCAAGTGATGGATCCAAACGACTCGACGATGCCTGGAACAAAGTTGCAATCAAATAGATAAATTGAAAAAACTTAAGCAAACGATAAACCATCAAGAACTGCATTTGAACAATATCAAAACAAGATGTAAGATAAGCTGACGAGAACTGACGTCATTCCGATGAAGTCGAAATGTATTGTTTGCAATCGCAGTAGAATTAGCGACAGAATTAGCAAGCATAAATGGTGAGCCAACAAGAGGATGCGCACCAGTATCCTGCGAATGCAAAACATATGTACCATCCAGAGTCAGTTGATACTGTGGTGTTTGTAGTTGAGAATTAGGAACAACATGAGATGTATAAATGGGCGCTGTCGATTGATAATCCGATTGATTGGAATATCCATTCACAGGCATCTGGAACCGATCTATTCAGCACTTCAGAACCAACAATAAAACTAAGCGAAAAACAAATATTTCGAGAAGTTAAGAAATGTAATCATTAATAATACGACCAAAGTAGTGTTTCATGGGTGGCATCACAAATCTCTTTAAATTTTAGATTTTTTGGGAAGATTTGAACTTTGAAAATGGCACCTGCAGTGTGTGCATGGGAAACGATTGATTCTGATCTAGTGATTGCTGCGTAGACTGTTCGAATATTTGTGGTTCTACAGAGGTCATATAAGGTGTTGCGTAGGTATGCTGCTGTGCTTGATGGGCCGATTTTATAGCATTATGTGGTAAAGTTGCATAAGAGCCATTAAACATATGACTTGGCTCATTTAGCAGTCCAAATTCTGCAAAAAAACAACAATAATGCTTTCATTAAAAACTTTCACTTCCAAATAAAAATGATTTTCGGAGTGAACTGCCAGAAATTCTTTTGTGGGCAAAGAGTACTATTTCGCTGATCCAATCCTGTACTAATATTGCTGAATAAATACAGAAAAAAATTCCAGAAATCTCCCTTAATATGCCAGCAAGTACAGTGTTTATTATCAGGAATAAAACCTATTAGTAACAATCTATTAACTAGGTGGCCTACTATTCAAAAGCCAATCGCTGGTTAATCCTTCTCAGTTATTTAGAAAGTATAATTTCACAATGCGTGGAAGATGTAATAGTAGAAAAAACAATAAAGAAATTACCTGTATGGATGGCAGGTTGAGAAATGGCGTGTGTCATTTGGCGTTGTTCATCTACCTGACGACTTAAATGCTCCTGCTGAACCGACATTTCTTGAAGTCGTTTCTACAGAGAAGACAAATACAGAGAGTGAATTAGAAAGAAAATGAAAAAAGTGAAATAAACCTGAAACAGATAAGAAAATATGTTAAGTACCTTTAAGTCCTGTACAGTCTCCTTTAAAAAAGATAATTCTTGTGATTCGTATGCTTGAGAGCTGCCAATTTCACTTGCTGCACGTGATCGTGTGTCAGAACCCTGTAATTAACGTTGAAACTTGGACTATAACTTATTACCATTACTTGAGAGCTGCCTATTTCACTTACTGCAATGTATTCTGTAATCGATCTAAAAGGACTTCATTTGTTTCTAAAAGGTTCTATTTCTCAAAGACAGAAAAAGAAAGCCTTTGTGTACATTGAAAAGTAACATTAAAGCACAACCATAATTAAAATGCTACTCACGAAGGGTAATGATAAAAAAGAAATTGAGGCTCACAGAGAAGATGGATGGATAATCGAAGTCACTTCTTTGATTCTTACGCATGTTCTATTTCAAACTTATTATTTGATCAGAGTTTCGTAAGAGATAGTTCCTAAACCCTATCAGAGACATTTGGTGGACTGCCTATCAATACCGTATTTAAGCTCAAAATAATAGAGTACTTTTTCTAGACGCTGCATAAGTGTGAAGAATGCATCTTTCTGTTTCTGTGCCCGCTCTGATTCACTCTGATTCCTGAAAACATAATTTATATGAAGAAGTTTTCAAAAATAAAAATTTTGAAGAATAGATAAGAATTATAACTTCATCCTACAGAATATGAAAATCTGAGTCTCATTTACAGGAAAAAGATACGGGAATGCAGAGCATGCTATATAAAATTGCACTATCCATATTGGAATTTATATTATCTTATCCTAGTACATACGTTTCCAAATAACGCCTTTTTTCATGTTCACGTCGTTTTTCTTCTAATGCTAAACGTATACTTGCAGCTGGCAATGAATCACTGCGAAGGTATGTTCCTCCTTGCGAAAAATCACTCACACCACCAACATGATCGCCACACTGTGTCTGAAGTTTGATATATTTAAAGAAGTGAAAATTCTCAGTTAATGCTAAAGATGTTTCACATTTAATTATGGAGATGATAGCCAAATACCTACTAATTTGTCCCTGGATATCTTCAAAAGCTCTATAAAGATTGTCATATAAACATCCTCAAGTCTCCAAAGGTCTGCCTTTCAAATTAACTTCCAACTTTGAACTAGTTTATCCTTCTTAAATAACATGGCAAAATATAGCAAAACAATGTTACTTACCAGCTCGCCAAAGCTGGTTTTAGAACCAATAAAATTCTTCTGATAACGATGTTTCATTGATTCACCCGAACTATAATTCCAGAAGTACGTAAAGCAATAGAAAACATTTTTTTTAATTCGATAAAAACCCGAAGTTTCCAAAGATATTTATAACTTTAGCGAAGTATAAATCGCATGAACACTCCTTTATCCTTCAGATTATAGTTGCCTTAGTCTTTGGTGCATAGTTCTCATCATTATATATTAATAATATCTTAAAATATATTGGTTAAAGCTACTGCAGATTTCTTTATCCTATATAAGCTTTCTTCCTCAACCAAAAAATCTACCGCCTTAACACTCATCACCTTGCAAAATTTTACTATTTCTCTGACAACGTAATCAATGATCTTTATGAATACCACAATGAAAACTTCTCGATGACGACATTTCATGCATTTATGCTTCTCAGCAGTTTCCATAAATTATTTCGTATCACAAAAAATCAGTACACATTTGGTATAATAAGTGGATACATACCGATTGGTCATCAGTGAATCTGAAGACATTGCAGAAAACGCTGAAATAAAAATCCATTCAGTGCTCAAAATAAAAAATTTTAGAACCAGGATGGACTTAAAAATCATTGCCAAGTTACTTCCATTAACTTTTCCCTTCAGTAATAATTCTCAAGAACTAGAAATCAAATCACTCTCAGATGAGGTTGCGTTGAATTATCGTATAACGACGGACTGATGTGTGCCAGCAAAAAATCGAAGACAATGAATAATGAATATTAGCTTACTTCGCGACATTTCAGGTTGAAAACGAGATCTAAATTGATTAGGTACTTTATTTGGAACAGCTTGAGATCGCAGATCAGGTATCCCATTTACTGGTACAAAATATCTTGCGCGCGCAGGTGCAGTCGAGGTCTCAATAGGACTTGCGACTGTAAAGAAGGAAACATTATGATTTCAGTTTACACTATACCAGCAAAAAGAGGAGAACATTTTTTCGGATGAAATGCTCAAGGAATTCATATGAATTTCTTACCATTTCTTACGCCATCTCCTTCGAAAATTTGAAAAAGATCAGCTAAAAACGCGTTTACATTTGGCTGTAAACTTTCATGAAGATATAGGATATCTTCAATTTCGAAATGAAATGGATTCCATGGCAAATGGGAACAGAATTTCCTAAAATATTTTTCCATGGGTATATCTTGGAAGAATGAATGGAAGTATTAAATATCCTTCTAAAATTGCCATTCACCAACATCATGGGTGAAGTCACTACTTCATTTAGCCTTTATGAACAATTTAGGTTTTAGATCATGAAGACAGTTCCAATCCAAGTTAGGAAAAATACTCCATCTTTAAGTTATAAAAACTATATAGTTTGTATATAAAAAATAATTTGAAGAAATAATTTGTCTGAGAAGAATGGAAGCAGCAAAGTCTAAGTCTCAACCAAAACTTTACCGAAAGGAATAAAAGCTTAAATCAAAAACATAAAGAAATAATTTGCCTGAGAAGTATTAAGTTGTACTGACAATCAGCAAGGCTCATTGGATCGTTGAAGCAGATGTCTGAAAAAAGCAGTAAATAGCAGAATATTGCTCTTATCCAGCTTTTTCTTCTCTAATTGCTCTTCCATTCGAATATACAAGGTAAAATGGCATTTTTTTGGCATTAAATTTTTAAGATTAAGAATAGAGAACAACAAAACACTGTAAATATAAAGAAAACAAGCCTCGTAAGACCATTTCATTAGGTCGATAAAATCCAACAAGTGCGCAAATGCAAGCGCCATCACACATATCCTCATAGAGATCTTCCATTTCAGGCACCACCACTGATCCATCTGGAATTTTCCGAATAGTACAAGAACAGATGCTTAACAAGCGGAAGTAAAGCGTTTATATTTCATTCAAGAACATCACATATAGATCATATTATAAACATTCTAAACTAAATCTAATAATAAATTAAAAATATTAAAATGTCATTTTAATACATTAAAATATTATAATTCCATACTACCGACTAAACCCATTATTTCGAAAATATAAAATCTATTTCATAAAAGATTTTTGAGATTTACAACAATCATTCATATTCATTAATGTATATCTTAAACTGATAGAGAAAATTTGTCTAGGAAAAAATCACTTACATTGTTCCTTAGAATTTTTATTCATTACAGCAAACTTTTCCATATCATCTCGTACTAGTAAACAAATTTTATTGATCCAAAACAGCAACGCATCAACACTATCCATTGGCTCTTCCCGTTTATCAACCGTCGTGTAATTCCTATATATTTAATATGTAAAATTGTATAATGGATAAGGTTTTTTATGTTATAATTTTTCCATTTATTTATTTATTTTCTGATGACCATCATTATTTTCAAAACAGCCACACTAATCGACACTCAAAGCGCATAGAACAGTAAAAGAAATTGTTTGCTGCCTTGGAATTATTCTGCAAACTTCAGCAATAATCAAATAAATTCGTTACAAAATTCGTTCGATTTAAAAGACTAAAAATGGAAGCCAGAGCAACATGAATTTCTGTTTAATCTGTCCATTAGTGAATTCAGGTTACAATTTCATTATACTTTGGGGGCAGTAATTTTTTGTCATTCTAGCTGTATTAAAAAAATTCACTTACTGCACAGCTTCTACCACTTTATCAATTGTAATGATGGACCGCATATGTGCAATCATTAAGGAATCCATGACTGCCAGGTGGGCAGCCTGCAAAATTTTTCAACTGGCAGGAATTAAATCCTATTTTTCAGATGCACTTTACAAGAAAGTCATTCAAATAAATTAAAGACTTTACAATAACCCAATAATGACTCACCTGGTGAAAAGGTTGAACGGTTGACAACATTGACTCGTTGATATTTGCTTCTTCGCCGGATAATGTGATTGGAATCGAATGGTTGGCCAAAGCTCGAAGTACAACGCTATGCGGCTTCTGAAATTTAACGACACTTTTGTAAAGCAACAGTTCTTAAAGGAAATTCTGTCTTCATCAAATAATTGATCGTACTTGTGAATTATAACACTTGTAAATATCCAAAAGTAATATATAACTCTCGATCAAAGAAACATTTTAATTTCTCATAACAAAAAAAGGGAAAAAAAATGGTGGAAAAGCAAAGAAAGGATTACGAAGAATTAGTGAGTGTCCAAGACGTAGAAATTCAAATGAGAAATATTAGAACTGCTCCCACATTTGTTACAGCGTGTTCTCAATTTTTAAGGTTCAAAACATAGCTTGGCTCGGGATGACCATCACTTTTCAAAAGAAACAACGGCAAACGGTCAAGCATCCCTTCACAGTCTAGGGACTGTGAATATATGAAATATCACTAGAGACTTTTATATCTTACGCCTAGGTACCAATGTCTTCGTCTCCGCGTATAACTTTATTCAAGCGTTCGCATCACTAATATAATTCAGAAGGTCTCATACAAAGAACAAAGTAACTATGCTGAAATACTTTGAAGCCAGTATTATTTCCTATAACTTACATTAAGAAGACTTTGATCCTTGAATATTTTAGCAGCAGCATTACTGTACAATGATGCATTGGTTAAACCCGTTACTACGGCTGCTTCCAGCTGGAAAGTATTCTGAAAATAACTTTTTAAACTGAGAAAACAAAATATAAAAATTGTTTATTAAACAACTAAAAAGTATTCGGTTGATCAAAATGGAAAAATTTGGATATGTTTCAATATTATTCAACAGATTAAAATGTTTCAAATTCAATTTTAATTTAACTCACCTTCAAAAAGTGTTATCAAGTTGCAGGATTCTAATTTATCACACTAGTTTTAGTTCAACTTCTTAAATTACAATGCACTTTAATCCTGTCAAATAAAAATCTTCCTGAGCAAAACACAACATGAAGTACTAACATTGGCATTTTCTTTGATCGGTTTCACTAAAAGGTCAGGAGCTGTACTTCCGTAAACACGTCCAATCAACCATTTTACTGATGCACTTAATTTGCCCTTAAATATTTTAAGCATAGTAAATTTTACACTTTGATAATTTTTAGATATAAAATGACATAAACATCCGGAGACATCCAAATATCTCCTCTTTCTTGGTTAAGAGCCAACTATCCACTTGTCTTAAGTGGACGCCTGACAATTATGATTAATTCTATACTTGAATAATACTTCAGTTCTTAATTTTTGCAATTAAATCATTTATCCCATCCAGTTATAGAATTTTTATTCTAATAGAAAAATATAGAGATTAAGATAAAATGCAATTGCAACACTAATCAACTAATTAATTAATGTGGGAACTCAGAGAAAATATCCACAATTCTTAGTTTTGATTTGAATTGGGAATTTTGAAACAAAACGTACTTTTTCGACATTATAACAGTTGATGGGAGTGATCCCGGGTAAGGGTTCCTCCATGGTTCTATTTGATTAATGCAACCCGAGGCAAGAAGCTACACACTGACGAGTGCAGCGACCCGTCTACTGAAACTAAAAAAAAAAACATTAATAAAATTTTGTATCAAATAATATCCGTAAAATTTGAAGTGTAAAACGTTTTCAACATAAATTACACAGTTTGAATATGAGAGCTACCAAATAAGATAAACTCTCATACGAAAAGAAATTAAAAAGTGATAAACAAATCATTAGAGTAGAATTAATTCTTTTTAATGCTAAAATATCGAGTAATTCCAGATAAAGAGCAATGGAAATGCTGTAGCAAAATGATTGATAAATACGTATGCTTAATATCAGGAAAATTCAAATTAATCATTCCGTGTGCAAAACGCATTAATTACTTCAAAAGAATAGCAAATAAACGTAATTTCCATATTTATTTCCATATTTCTTAAAACTTTCAAATTATTTTTGGAGACAGGTAAATAAAGAGAGGAGGATCACTTCGTCAAAGAGTAATTTTACAGCAGTTTCAGTAAGTAATCCAAAATGAAATTTGAAGTAGACCGGAAATAAACAAATCTCGATGGATAAACTGTTATTAAAACATGCAACAATTGGCCAATCTCATATCCTCTTCTCCCAAGACTATATAGAACTAGAAAAACGAGCATTTTAATGCCAGCTGACTCATTATTACACATTCAACCAGTCTGGCTGCCTTAAGCAATTTCAATGGAAATGTTTCATAGTTTACCACCGGATCCCTTTAATAATGCCATCCATAATAAAACCTATCATAAATCAAAATTAATGTTCTACAAGTGAATAATTTGTTGAAAATTCACGAACCAACTAAACTATGCTCCTTTTTACATAACAATATTCCTATTGGAATTTTTATCAGATGACTTCAGCAATAAATTTTTCAATATTTTTAAAAGGTAAAAGATCATTTTTTTTTTCGACATTGCTAATCAATAAAAAGTTATTAATTAATTAACACATTTCTTCTCAAAAAAAAAAAAAATAAAAACAATAACCTCTCCTTAAATTAAAACTTCGAAGAAAGAAATAAAATTAAAAGGTAAATTAGAGTGAAATAAATAGATGTAAAGGAAAAAGGAAATTTCTTATCTTTCAAATATCTATAAATTGCATACCACAGCAATCGTAATATTTAAAACAATTTCAACATCGTCTGGAATTTCGATTTTAACACAACGGAACATATTTTCGCACGAACATACATTTGGATTTTTTAACATAACAGGAATGTATCCATTTTGTGACATCATTAAATCCCTAATTTTTCAAAGCTCTTTTCCATTTATTCATTCCGTTTCTTATCAATTCTGCTTTGTCCATGACATACATACTATTATATCTTGTCGCTATCAATTTATGCCGTCTTCTTCGTTAATAAATCTTCTCAATGATTATCAATCACTGATATACTACAATCAAATATTGCCTAGTAAAGCTCATAACATAGGATAAGTTGATTTCTATTTTCTCATGACAAAATTTCAAATTTCAAAAGATTTCACATTTGAAGAAAAATTTTACAAGAAAATAAAATTTATCTCTAGTTACATGATGTTAGTCTTAGCTGGTCTGTGAAGAAGGAAAGATGGTACAATACCTCTGATCTATAAAGAAGAAAAAAAATGGTACAGTAGCCATTCTTACAATACTATAAACAAATACATTAGAAATAATAATTCTCAAAATATAATGTATAACTATTATGACAATCATGTATTGTAAATATTGCCAAAATATCAACATTTATCCTCTAATAATTTCCAAAAGAAAAAATGAATTTCCTTTAAAATTACAGTTTTCACATTAAATTCTGAAGCTTGCGAATTGCAGAAATATAATCATTCAAAGAGAAATGTTAGCTGATCATGTAAAACATTGATATATAAGTAAATTGTAGCTCACGTTACAGTGATATTAAAGCATGAGATATTTCACGAGAAAAATTACACGATAATTAGTCCGTTTTAAGAAGTGCAATTTTGCAGATTTGAAAAGTGAGATTAAATTTATGTAAAACTTAAATTTAAACTGAACCAACAAGAGAATTACAACACCGTCCTAGATCGATGACACCATTAAACAAAATTCACCAGAAACAAGACAATTGACGAATATAAACATGGATTCATAGCGAAAATTTTTACGTCCCATTTATTTGAGCAAATAATTCAGCAAAAATTACTGTGATTTCGTTCAAACTTTTTAATACCATTCAATCAAGCATGATTAGGCATACATAAATAAATATTATTGAATTTAGGCTAAAATGGTATCACAATTAGATATTGTACCAAATTTCAAAAATATATCTCTCATAAACCTAAAATAAATTTTTAAGATTTGTATAAGTAAATTTTAATTTTTGTTTCTTCCTTGCTTTTCCTTCCTGATATTATTACGAAAATAATATTTGCTTCTTTAAATGTTAGCATATTGAATAAAGTATAATATTATAATTTTTAACTAATTTCATCTTCAAAAATATACGTGCATTTTTTTCAAATATTTAAATTTGCCTAAAAATATTTTTTTGAATTTTATTTAAAAATAAAACAAAAATATACAAAAAAAAATTTAAAACAATAGCATTTAATTAATTAAAATTAATTAATTTTGCAGTGAAATATAATTTGTTTGTAAGGAACGATGAAATGACACAAATGAAATTTGAATTTTAACCATTTCAAATTCGCCAACTTCCTCTCTTACCACTTATTTGCAATTACACATTCTCAAGAATGATCTTATGTCCTTTTCATTTTTACTTTTGATAAAATCACAACACATTCAATTATCTTCTTTCAATGTCAACTAAACCATTTTATTCCAACAAGAATTTATTGATTGTAATTAATTTAACTTTTCAAATAATATGAGATCTGATACAATAACAACAAATAAAACAATTCGATACACAGGTGATTAATTAATTATTCTAAATGGTCAAAAAAAAACAAATGAAAAAAAATAATTTTAAACTTATTTTAATGATTTCAACAATTTATCAATTTTTGATCAGATGATCAGATGATTATAAAATATATTCAATTATGAGTTTATCAGAATAATATGTTGATATATTGTTTTTATAATTTTAGGAATATTTTTAAGGAAAAATTTTAATCGAAAAATTTCGGTTAAATTCTTAACAAATTACTAATAATAATTTGATTAACAATTTTGGTTAGAATGAATAATTTAATTTAATTAATCTAATTCTAATTAACAACAATAATTCAATTCAACCTATCAATTTTAATGAAAGAATAATCTTCTAAATTACAGTTCTTGTAAGAGAATTATTTAAAAATTATAATTTAAACAATTAATTCATTATTATTCTAACAGTTCCTTTTTTGTTAACTTATTTTATTATTTTCATTAATATAAATTCATATATGTATATATGTTGAAAATATAAATTAGAAATTAAATATTAGCTATTATTTTAAAGGCAGTAATTAGCATTACACAATATATGCCCTAAAATATGTGCCCTAAAATTAATGCTAAAATAAATTTCGAAATTCAATAAAATTAACAATTTTCTAAGAAACAAACAATAGCTAAGCTTGCACAATTATAAGCTCGCACAATTGCAAAAGCTTGCCTAAGCATGCACAATTATAAGCTCGCACAATTGCAAAAGCTTGCCTAAGCATGCACAATTGCAAAAAGCTTGCCTAAGCTTGCACAATTGCAAAATAGCAATCAAACAATTTTATTCCTAAAATTTGAAAATACTAAAATTTAAATTTTATTTAAATTATTGTCGAATTTTTTTCGGTTACGATGCAACGAATCACTGTGAATGAATTTGTTCTCATTTGTTTTAATTTTTTCATTAATTTGATTTATCGATTTTTTTTTAATCGATATCTAATTTGTGCTTTTGTATGATCCTTTCGATTAAATAGCACAACTGGAAGTATCGGACCATTCCCTTTTACAACTTTTCCATTCGATCGCTTGCAACAAAATCTAAAATTTTATTTATTCAAAGTTTTTTCGTTAGCTATTGATTGATTGATAAGTTGAAAAAAATAATAATGCTATAATTTTTTTTTTAATAATTGAAATCAAAATTAAAAATTGATAAATTAATGAAATCCAATCTAATAAAATTAATAAAACAAATCCAATCCATTGATTACTTTGTTGTAATAAAATAGAAGAAAGAAAATACCTGTAACCGGTTAATCGTTTATCGTTATCAGCTTTTAACTCTAAGCCACCATAAATGCATCCTTCTGAACAGGTACCAGAAAGTGAGGTTACTTCCACTTCAATAACATCATGTTCGCTAGCCTATTGAATGATCAATTTGAGAATATTGAAAAGAAAGTTACATATTAAGTAGAATGCATTGCTGGCAATAATAATAGTCAATAATAATAATAATTAATAGTGATTAAAAAAATCATAACTAATAGTAATAATAAATAAAAACAATGATTGATAATAATAACAATTAATAATGATAATAATTAGCAATAATAACATTGATAATAATGAAATTAATTGTAACAATTAATCACAATATTAGTAATAGTAATTAATAGTAATAATGAATAATAATAATAAATAATGATAACCAATAATAATAAATAATGATAATAATTACTAATAACATAATTATTATTATTTATAATGCAAAATAATAATAATAAAATAATTTAGCAATTATTACAAAATTGAGAGCAACAAATCGATGTTATAGTGAATTAAGAAATAGAGGTAAAATTACCTGAATCCACCAATAACAATAAGACATTTCATCATTGAACCTTCTATAATTGCCCATTTGCGCATTCAATTTTTGCCATTCATAAGTTGCGTGTAAATTAGCGCCACAACCAGGTGAATCAGCCTAAATTAATTTTATTTACAATGATTATATCATAATGAAAAAGAATTGGAGCGAAATAATTGGAATTGCTTACCTTTTACTTTTTTATTAAATGAAATGATTAAAAGAATTAACAAAATAATTTAATATACTAAAATTAATAAATTCGATAATGATATTTTCAATTACATAAATGAAAATTTTTTGTAATTACCATTTCTTCCAATTAAGTAATTTCTTCCTGTTTGCAATATTTCATTTTTATCTGCTATAATTAGTTAATTTGTTAGAAAAATTTCAGCAACTGATTAATTTGCAATTAATTACATTTATTTATCTCTCTATCAATGCTATTATAATTCTATGATTAATCATTTCAAAAAATATTCTATTAAATTCATCAATTAATTGAATGAATTTATCATTTGATCTGATAATAATTAATCAAAATTAATTTAGTCAACAATAGTCATAATTTTTTATCATTCTTTTTCATTCACTTTAAATAAATACTTTAATATTTATAAGCAATGTTAGGAAAAAAAGAATAAGATTAAATGAAAGAGAAAATTCAAAAGTATTATGTGATTGATTGCTTATGCTTATTAATTATTTATTTTTTATGCCATTCGCTTATTTAAACTATAAAATATTTTCTTTATAATTATAATTGCTCGAAAAGCAAAAGTAACTTACTTATCTTTTTTTAAACAAATTACTTTAGTATTAATGATTACAAAAAAAAAGAATATTTTAAAGATAAATACTAAAAAATATTTTAAAGATAAATACAATTTTAGGTGACCAAAAATTAAACTTACTCTTTTTTCACAGTATTTTCCACCATAGCCAGATGGACATAAACAACGATGACAATCTCTAGGATGCTGATATCCATTATTTGTGCATTTGATTCTATTTTTGCAACGATCTGTTGAAAAAAATGAAGCAAGGAAGTCGGCATTTGAAAACTTGAAAACTTGAAATTTGTAAATAGAATTTAAAAATCACTGTGTCTTTTTAAACCACACAGATTAGCAAATAAAGAAAACAAGTAAAACCTGAAATTTGTAATTAAAGTTGAAAATTTAAATTTACAAATTGATGTGTCCTTTTAAATCATACGAATTAGCAAATTAGATAAGCAAGCAAAACTTGAAATTTGCTATTAAAGTTGAAATTTAAATTTGCAAATCATTGCGTACTTTTTAAACTATACAAATTAACAGAATGGATATGCAAGCAAATAGAATTGTGTAAATCATTCTACAGTAAATTATTCTTTTTTTCTAATAAGCTGCCAACAAAGTTCTATTTGAATTGTAAATTCTAAGTTTTATATGAAGCTGAACCTGTTATTGACAGATGATATTAAAATAAAAAGTACAATTTTTGGAAATTTTTTCAACTTCTCATAAATTTTAGAATTTCTAAACTTTAATACAATAAAAAGGAAATTATAATTTAAAACTGACAAACTTTACATTTGTTTTTATTCCAACGATTAATTTATATTTAATTTTATAAAACTATTCTTAATTATATTACATATAATCTTTTAATATTCATTTTACGATTGATACATTTAAATATTTCATGGTATATATTAAAAAAATTCCTTTTTTTTCAAATTTCTTATTTTATTACAAATAAATATTCATTAAATAGAAACAATTGGACAAATAATAAAATATGTGAAAATAAAATAAAAATGACTTAAATAGTAAAAATTTGATGTAAATTAAATGATAAAACAATCGATACTAATTCCTTATTGTATTAGTAAATGAAATAAAATCATACCTAAACATTTGTAATGTGTATTCATCATAAGAAGATCGATAAATGTTGGGCCAGTACCGCTACCCATCGTATCTTCGTATAAGGGTAATCGAGGAATGATTGTTAAATCACTATTACTTGTAAATCTAAAATATCCGAGGAATGATTGTTAAAATCACTATTACTTGTAATTTTGAAATATCCGAGGAATGATTGCTAAAATCACTATTACTTCTAATCCTGAAATAATCGAGGAATGATTGTTAAAATCACTATTACTTGTAAGACATCCGAGGAATGATAATTCTAAAATATCCGAATGATCAAAAATATTCGAGGAATGATAGTTAATCACTGATACTAATGTAAATTCTAAAAAAATCCCCATCTTCTTATCATTTATGATAGCAATTGATAATAAATTCTAATTCAACAATTTAAAATATATTGTTAAACTTAAAATTATCAATATTAATTATCAATATCAAAATCAACAACATAAATTAAATTTTAAATCAAATCATAACTTTAATGAAATTTCTTAAACTTACGCTTTTTTACTATAATGCATTACACTGCCATAATCATACGGAAGTCCATAATTATAATTATTTTGTTGTACTGAACGCATAAAATTTGATGATAAACCATTCTAAATTTTCCAATAATATAAACAAATTAATTATTTAAATCGTTGAAACAATATAACTTTAAACAAAATTATTTGAATTCTCAAAGTTATCAATATTTATAAATTAAATTTAAAATCAAATCTTTTTTAAACTTATCAATATTCCTAAATTGAATTTTCAATTATTTAATGAAAAGCTATGAAAATGTTGGCATTAAAATATTTTCATAATTTGTATCATTGTCGCATACTGTGACAATCTATGATAATATATGACAATATTATAATTATGATGATATTTTACGATACTTCGTGAATTTAGTACTTAATATTTAAAATGGGTGAATAATTAAATTACCGTATATATAGACGAATAATTTTAAATTATCGTAAATTAAAATTTCATTTTAATTTATTAAAAAAAAGCTAAAATTTTAAAATCAAAATCATACCTGATTACTACTATCTTAAATTACCGTTTATACAGATGAATAACTAAATTACCGTAATTTATCATTTTTCATTTTGATATTTTATTTTTCTAATTTCTCCTCTTTTTTTTTAAAAAAAGAAAGATTTAAAAAATTTACTTGAATATTGTTAAATTTAACCCAAATATAACGATCACGATCGATTCGAGTATGAGTATGCAAGAAACCTAATGCATGACCAATTTCATGTGAAATTGTATGTATCTAAAATGAATTTAATAATTGAATTACAAATAAATTCATTAAATCCTCTCTCTCTCTCTCTCTCTCTTTGTTTCCTTTTCTAATAAAACTACTTTTGCAATACAAAATTTTGCTAAAATGAAATTAATACGAAAAGGAAAAGTGAAAGAGAGGGAGAGCGAGAGAGAGAAAGTGATAATAATTTTATTGGAAATGTTTCGCATTGTAAAATTGACCGCAATAATTGACTAATAATAATAATGATAATGATAAAAATAATACTAATAACCGATATATCACTGATAATAATAATAACAGCAGTGATAACAATATTATTAAATAACTGACATGCTCACAATTGTAACCAATCGTTACAGGTTGCTTTTTCCAACGTGACATATGACCAACATAACTGGAGCAACTTGAACCCTTCAAATTTTAATTTCAATTAATTAAAAGCACCTATATAATTATCACATTCACAGTACATAGTAAAGATTTGAAATAATAGTAAATAATAATTTTCGCATTAAAATCCAGGTGTAATAATGACATTGAATATTAATTTATAATACAATTTAGTAAAAGCGTTAATAATTTAGTATTATTTAATAATGTATATATTTGATATCAAACAAATAATTTAAATGAATTTAATAGCTATAATCTAATAAACAATGAAATAAGCGTTATTCATTTATTTAACTATTCCTTTGTTTTATTATTATCAATATGCTACATTGTTGTGCTTTTTCTAAATTTACAACATTAATACTTAATTGAATACTATTACCATAATTAATTAACAAACAAAAATTCATATGAATTTAGTATATATAATCTAATAAGCAATGAAATATGCGTTATCCATTTAACTATTCCTTGGCTTATTATTATGAACATGCAACATTGCTGCTTTTTCCAAATTTACTACATTAATACTTAATTAAATACTATTGCCGTAATTAATTAACAAACAAAAATTCATTTAAATTTAATATGTAATCTAATAAGCAATAAAATAAGCATTATTCATTCATTTAATTATTCCTTTTGATTTACTAGTATAAATATGCAACATTGTTGTGCATTTTCCAAATTTACTACATCATCAACCATAATTAACTAATTAATTAATTAATTTAAAATAAAAACTAACTGGAACAAAGACAAGCGTATCTTTTTTATTATTAGTTGGAACAAATGTAATACATGTATTTCTTTCCCATATTTCCATCGATTTCTTTGTAATATATCTGGCATGTTGGGCTAAATTTAAAAATTATCAAAATTTGTTAAAATTAAAAAAATATAAAAATGAAAAAATTTTGTCCAATTTTTATTTAATACTAAAATTAGCAAATTTTTGTTAAAATAATTTATTAATATTATTGTCATATCAAATTTGCTAAAATTAAAATTATACGATTCATTTTATCTATACTATTCGATAAACTGATAAAATCTTTCTTCATGATAACACTATAATTTTTGATCAATTAGTTCATTGATATTATTGTCATATCAAATTTGCTAAAAATAAAATTATACGATTCATTTTATTTATACTATTTGATAAACTGATAAAATCTTTCTTCATGATAACACTATAATTTTTGATCAATTAGTTCATTGATATTATTGTCATATCAAATTTGCTAAAAATAAAATTATATGAATCGCTTTATTTATACTATCTAATAAAATCTTCTTTCATGACAATCATTACAATCACTTATTGTATTCTTATCAATAATGTATTCCCAAATGGGAAAGTAAAATAAAATTTAACAAAAAACGTACAACATTTAATAAGTTATAAAATTGTCGTAAGAATTAAATCGATGATATATCATAAAATTTTATTTTACTATTTAATCTACAGATAATTTGATGACATATTTTATCTCATAAAATTACATTTTAAGATTCAATCGATGGAAAATTGTTGAACATAATTATCCAATTTTATTAAATTACTAAATTAAAGCTTACGTTTAATTAAAATTAAAACCTTACTGCAATCTATAGATAATTGTTGAACTTAATTATCTAATTTTTTATTAAACTACTAAATTAAAGCTTATGTTTAATTAAAATTAAAACCTTACTGCAATCTATAGATAATTGTTGAACTTAATTATCTAATTTTTTATTAAACTACTAAATTAAAGCTTACGTTTAATTAAAATTAAAACCTGAAAATCTATGCTGTACGTATTTTACTTTGAAAATAAAAAAAAAATAAAATAATATATATTCATACAAAGTCCCGATTCGAATCGATATGGTACAACACCATTTTGCCAAAAGAAATTATCAGCATGATAAGCTTGTCGCTTATTTCGTCTCATACTGTTATTTCGATTTAAAAATGTTTTAGCATAATCGAATGTTTCATTCCAAATCTCTTCTTGTTGCCTATAAAAATATAACTTTTTCAAATGTTTTATTTTTCATTTTTAAAAAATAAAACAAAAATTATTCATTTCGAATTTTAATTAAAAATTTTCAAATTTACAATTAAACAATTTCTTATAGAAACTTTTTAATAAATTTAAATTTAAACGAAAAATTATTGTCGAAATTTGTTGAAAATAGTTGAAATAAATCAAAAAAAATTCATTTATCAAATAATTAATTTGGAAGTATTTGAAATGGAAATTTTAATCAGAATACTTAAAATGATATGATATATACTAGAAAATAACTTCTTCCTTTTCTGCTTTTTCAAGGGGAAAAATGCTTATCACATTCAAATACGTTATTCATATTACTCAAAATATTATATCAAATTATTATTATCAAATTATTCGAATTATATGATGAACTTCAAATGGTACTCCTTAGCAACTGGAAGTAAAATAGTTTAGCAAACTGGAATACAAATTAGTTTAATCAATATCATTATGTTTTGATATACAAAAAAAAAGGAACAAACTTTGTAAGCATAATATCGCCTTCAATCATTTTTATGTTATTACCCAAATGATGATTATTAAATGTTTCTTCCATTGGTAACATTTCATCGATTTTATTGCCAGTTAATATTTCTTCCATTACCGATACATCCGAAACATTTTCAGGATGTTTATCCCGCTTAAATTTTATTTAAATTAATTTTGAAAAGATTTAAAATTATTAAAAAAAAAAATGAAATGAAAATGGAATAATAATAGAATATAGCAATTAATTAAATGAAATATTAATTAAATTAAAAAATTTATTCTATCTTCTATCATCTATTAATTCCTATCTTTAAATTAAATTTAAATTTAAAAAAATTTATTCTATCTTCTATCTTCTGTTTTTCGCTGATATGCAATATAAAATTCTGATACTTTTCTGAAATTTTTTGCTATCAGACACGAATTATTCTGTTTCTATTAATTAGCTTTTAACTATTAATTATCACCAAAATTATGATAACAATTCCAATTATTATTTGTTAATTATATCATCAGATTTCGTTCAATTATTAGTATTTCAAGAATGCGATAAAATATTTTTATTATTCATCATTTTTTTAATTGTCAAAAATTATCATATCAATTCTGATTATTATTTTGATAATTAAATTATCAGATTTCAAACAATTATTAGCATTTCAAAAATGCAATAAAATATTTTTATTATTCTTCATTATTTAATAGCTAAAATTATCATATCAATTTTGATTATTATTTTGATAATTAAATTATCAGATTTCATTCATTTATTAGTATTTCAAAAATGCAATAAAATATTTTTAGTACTCGTTATTTTTTAAAGAAAGCATAAATAATTTAATTTTTCTCTGCAATAATTAATTCAATAAAAATAAAGCATTTTTGAAAATTTCGAAATAAATCAATTATTTTTAGTTAAACTTTACAAAAATTAAAAAACTTAATTATTTAATTAAAAAATTAAAAAAAATTGGAATTAAAAAAAATTCGTAGATAAATTGATAACTAAATGATATATTACTGATCAAAAGACATATGATATAATTATCGTAGAAGAATAATACTTACCAGTGTTGAAATGATCATCGCTGATGTGATATGACATGAGCAGATGATAAATACTATTGCAACTAACATCATTTGTTGTACTGCGGAATAATTCATCCAGCGAAAATTTGAAATTTAAAATTAAATTAGAGAAAAATAATATTTAAATTAAACGATGACAAAGCGATAAATTCAATTAGTATTTCGACAAAATTATTGTAAACGTGAAATTTATCAAATATTTAAATTTATAAAATATTTATTTAAAATCATTTAAATTCCTAAAATTAGCAATGAAATAAAATTTTCGATTTGTTAATTATTAAATAATAATTTCTAAGCTAATATTTCACTTAAAATTAGCAAATTAAATAAAAATATAAGTTTGTTAATTATTGAATAGTAATTATATGCAAACAAATTCACTTTGAAATATTTTTCATAGAAAAGAAATTTCAAATTTGAAATGAAATTTAATCATTTAGTTAAAATTTTCAAAAACTCTCAAACATTTCAATTTATCGGATTAATTGAATTAAATAATTATGCGAAATTTTTCTTTTTTAAAGAATAAATGAATTAAATCAATATTGATAAACTTAATTAGCAAAAATTTATTATATAGCTAATTTATGACATTTTAATCTCCTTAATCTCTCTCTTACTAAGAACAGAAGTACTTGAATTTGTGAATACAAATACCAATTATTATATGTTATTATTGAAAATAGAAATAATTTTTATTAACCTCTCGCTCTTATTAAGAATAGAAGTACTTGAATTAGAGAACTCAAAAACCAATTATTAAATTTTATTACTGAAAATAGAAATAATTTTTTTTTAACGTATTCAGCATAATTATTCATTTTTATAAACCTAAAGAAATGGTTGAAGAATTTCTAAATGCAAGAGCAATGAAAATATACGAATAATAGAATAGAAATACTTAATAATTGAAATATCAGAGTGGTAGAAATAAAAACAAACGAAAGTTATGTTATGTTAAATCCAAAGAAATGATTGAAGAATGATAGATTTATTTTAGAATAATTTTAAGAATAATTTAAGAATTAGTTTAGAATAATTTTATGATTAATTAAGAATAATTTCAAGTGCAGAAGTAATTAAATCGAAATAATTAATAACTGAAATATCCGAGAAATGAAAATGAAAATAGACGAAAATTTTATTTTGCTAAAAAAATTTCTGTCATTGTAGAAAATTAGATTTTCTGATATTACAGAATGATTTATTAGCAGCCTATCAATTGCTATCAATTAAAAAAGGAAAGTTTAAAATTCAAATGGAAAGTTGGAATTTTGATATTTCATAGAGTAAAATGAAATTCTACGCTCCAGTATATATTTATATATATATACTAAATATGTGAATGAATGAGACAATTAGATAGTTTCAAGTTTGCAATATGTGAAAAAGGTCATGTTGAAATTTGTTGCAAAATTTTCTGTCACTGATTTTATCAAAATGCTTCCAACTGTGAAACTTTTAATTCAACTCTATCGAAAAATTACCGGAAGCATCAAATACGATCGTACGTTTCTCATGTAAAAGACAATCGTTACAATTAGTTAAGTTGTTCAAAGATCACTGTTAATCAATATAACCTTTGACCATTCATAATTTCCTTAAAAATTTCTATAAAAGATCAAAGGGTAAAGATATGCATTGCATGTGTTACCTTTTAAGTTATTGTAAAAAAATTTTAATTATTGTAAAATTTACAATTTACAATTTAGCTCTCCGATAGCTTGTCATCATCGTTAACAATGAACTAATCAAATACCATCCTAAAGTGAAAAGTTTTTTGGTTGTAATGAAATTTCAACAGAATTTTTAAAATGAAACATTTCACTTTTTCCAATCTAAAAAATTATATAATTTATCAAACTTTTACTTTTACCTGTTTATTTTTCGCTTCTTGACAGCTTCACCTTTCTAAAGTTTTAATCAAAAATTATATACTAAGAAATTTTTTATGATTTTTAATAAATTTCATTTTAATTTCGTGTAGTTTTTTTAACTGATTACTTTATCTTAAAAAAGCTTTGTGATAATTCTGATAATTTTATTTTAATTTCCATAAATGATTAAATGATGAAATGATAAGACAAACAGATACAGAGAGAGAGAGAGAGAGAGCTGAGTGGAAAAATGATAATCGTTTAATCTTCTCATTCTTTAGATATCTCTATTACTACTACCGCTAATTATAATTAATTGCTATTTTTTTTCTTCACCGTTCTCTCATTGTTGTTGTTCTGTATTCTTTCTCTTCATTTTTTCCTTTTCTTCTTTTTCTTATTGCCGCTGCTGTTGTTTTGTTGTTCTGCATTCTTTCTCTTCATCTCCATATTATTATTATTATTATTACTATTATAGTGTTGTTTTTGTTGTTGATAGCACTGTTGTCGCTATAGTTATTAATTATTATTATCAATTATCACTATTATTGTTGTAAATTATAAGCTTTCTTATTATCACTATTATTATTGTTAGCACTATTATTGATTTTATTATTATTATTGTTGTTGTTATTACTGCTATTATTTATGTCAACTATTATTATTACTATTGTTATTTTAAATTAATAATATCATTATTATTGTTGCGATTACTATTATTACTAATTATTAATGCTATTATTAGCATTGGTATTATCATTATTAATTTATTATTATTATCATTGTTATTAATAATAATATTATTAATTGTCGTCATCAATTTTTACATTGCTATTAATCCTTATTTTTAATATTTATTTCTAATGATTNATGCTATTATTAGCATTGGTATTATCATTATTAATTTATTATTATTATCATTGTTATTAATAATAATATTATTAATTGTCGTCATCAATTTTTACATTGCTATTAATCCTTATTTTTAATATTTATTGCTAATGATTAATATGAAAATAATAATAATGATGATAAAGATGATGATGATATTTTGATGATAGCGATAATAAGGTGATTGTTCAAATCGTAATCAACGATCAGAAAGCCGTCAAAAAGAGATGGAAATCATCGTTAACTCCTTGGAAACCTCAATCAGTGAAATATCACGGGAAGATTTGTTATTAATGTCTATCTATGTAATAGACAGTAATTTATCCACTAAATAACAATCCTTATAGTGGATAATATATTTTAACATTACAGTTAGCATTAGCAATAGGATCGATTATCATCTAAGTTACATAGATAAAGTTTTTAATTTCGTAATTTTTAATTTAACATTTATTTAAATTTAATTAATTTTAATTTAATTAGTTTTAATTTAATTTATATTTAATTAAATTCATTACCGGTAATTTAATTTTTAATTTATCAAGCTGTTAATTTCATAATAATTTTTTAATTTCAAAAATTTTCATTCACACCGAATTTCGAGTCATTAATAAAATTTTATGAATCAATAGTCAACAAGGGTATGAAATCTAAACGAAATGTGCAATAAATCACTCCATGTTATATAAAATTTCCCAATTTGCAATTATTGAGTCACACAGGTGGTAATAAAACGGTTGCAAGAGTATACTTTCATCACAATATAGACATACCTACCCTTTAACATGCAAGTACGCAGTTGCATAAGCATGCGCATGCGCAACTCACGCCCATAACATATGCGTGCATTAACAAATATATTCGCATAATTATGCATCTGCATAAACTTGCGTAGACTTATAGATTTATAAATCGTCGTTACACGTAAGCCAGAGAATTATAGATGATAATATTTTGCAAAATTTTATGAGTGATAATTTCAATCAAATATTATTTCATTTATCAATATGTATTTGGGATACTTCCATCGTATATTTATCGTTAAAGTTTTGCTAAAATTATCAGCAAATAAAATGGAATGAGTGATAACAAATATATTCGCATAATTATGCATCCACGTAAACTTGCATAATCTTATAGACTTATACGTCGTCGTTTCACGTAAGTCAGAGAATATATATGATAATATTGGCAAATTTTTTTAACTGATAATTTCAATCAAACATTATTTCATTTATCAATGTTTATTTGATAAAATTTATCCATCATATATTTATCGTTAAAGCTTGATAAAATTATCAACAAATAATAAAATGAAATGCGTGAAATGTTTTTTTTAAAATGTTTACGTCAATTATTTTATTCGATTTTTTTTTCAAAACTTTTTAAAATGCTAATTAATGAAGAAATTAATTTCAATATTGTTTTTTTTTTAAAAAAGGAAAATAATTTGTGAAAAATTTGTTGAATTAAATTTTTCCCCTAAAAATCTTCTATTCTATTTTTTAGGCTTATCAATTTTGTTCTATGTTTTATCGCTCGAAATTTTATAAATTTTAAATGCAAATTTGGTAAATTATTTTTGGTAGAAATTTTGATGGGATAGGATTAATTAATGGGTTGGTTATTCGGCAACATATGATTTATGATTATTTTTTTTATATATTTTGAAAGAGAGATATCATCAATGACAATGATAATGATCTTTATCGTACAATCAATGATCATGATAACGATCTTTGTGATAATGAAAATAATAATAATTGTATTAGTAATAGTGATGATTTAAGAAACTTAATAGTTATATTATCAAAATAATCATTTCTAAATTTATCATTAACAAATTAATATGATAACTTTATTCATTATATTTCTGTACATCATTATGATTTAGAATTTATCTGTAATTCTAAAAATATACTTAATTTTTGTTTATTTTATGTTTGTGTATTATTCATCTGCTGTTTTTGTTTAAAATGTATTACAAAAAGTACCATATGATTTATGATTGTTTTATAATATTTAATTATGTAAAATGTTATACAAAAAATTAATTATGCAAAATTTATATTATTTAACTATGCAAAATTATTTAATTATGCAAAATATTACACAAAAAAAAAATTAATTAAGCAAAATTTATGTTATTTAATTATGCAAAATTATTTAATTGTGCAAAATATTATACAAAAAAAAAAAATTAATTATGCAAAATTATTTAGTTATGCAAAATATTATACAAAAAAACAAAAAATTAATTATGCAAAATTTATATTTTTTAATTATGCAAAATATTATACAAAA